TTATGTTAGAGCAACAAATGTCACCGCATAGTGTTTTTTTGTTACAAAGGAACCTCAGGGGGGGGAACCGGTTTGGCTGGGATGGTACGATTTCATATTTAGGATGGACGAGTGTGCATAATATATATATATATATGTATATACATATATATAAAATCATAGTATCCCAGGGGGAGCCGATAAGTCCGGGGGGGGGAGGGGGGTAGAATCTGTTAGTCTTTGAGAAAGTAGATCAATGTGGTGCAGTTGGTGTGGTGTTGTAACATGAACATGGCGGTGCTATTAATCTCGTCAGTTTTGAAGTCGTCACCTCCGCTGCTCGTGCAAACACCCTACCCGCCCACCCGCAACTTGTTTGCACAATCCAACTGGTCGTCGACAGCGACGATGACGATTGCACTGGTAGTGTTGATGACGATGGTACTGGTGATGATGATGGCGAAACGCCCGCGCGCAAAACAAATACGAGGGCGACGACATCGACGAGTAACAGCGGCAGTGGTGACCCCGACGATGGGATGATGATGCTCCTGATAAGGATGATCTTTGTGGTGCTGGTGCTGGCGATGGCAATCATGACGCTGACGATGATGATAACGATGGTGCTGATGCCGAGAAAGAGAGCGCCAGCATACACTCCAACATCATGGCAAGTCCGTAACGGCAGCCAGTTGTTTTGCGTATGTGCTTGAACACATGTGTGTTGAAATGCTTCCAACAACAATGTATTGGAACGATGTCGACGTGCGTGCGCGGTGGACGCGCGCGTGTGGCCTGCATCGTAGTGTTTGACAGAGTTGGTTAGCGCGAGATGGTGGTTTAGAGCTGTCGACATGCGCTCGCAAGCGGCCCGCATGGTCTGACTTCACAAAACGGCTAAACAGATGGCTTTCGCAAGATCCGGTGAGTGCGCGCATGTTTTTGGCATTTCCAAGGACCATTGATTGTTTATCGTTGTTTGAATGCCCATGCCTTTGGAATTGCGAAAATCACCATGTAATGATATCAGAGTGGCTTTGACGCGTGCGTGTGGCGGAGCGCGCATGTGCCCTGTAATGCAGTTGTCGCAAAGGGATTCTTAGTCAAGGCATTTCTTAGAGCAGCGCATGGGCACCGCATGGTATTATTTGGCATTGATGAAGGGGGATGGGGGGCGATACCGGGATCGCCTGGGATGCGATGCTGTTAAATAGGAATTGAGCCATGCGGCATACTCGCATTCTAATTGAAAGTCGGAGAGCGGGGATAGCCTCGGCCTCGAGAGGCGTGTGTGTATATATATATAGATGTATATATATATATATATATATATCGGAGAACCAACGTGGTGCAAACTGTGATCTGCAAGCTATGCGGTATCAACCACGCGGTGCAAGCTGTGCGGTGCAGACAGCATGCTGCAAGCCATGTGTTGCGCGCTCTATGGTGCAGTGTGTGTTGTGTAAGCTACCTGGTGGTCAGCTTTGTGATGCAACATCTGTCACCACCCACCAAACCACCCCAACCCAACCCGAAGGCCTCCATTTGCCCTCCATTTCCACTGGGGGGTGGGTCGGGGACCATCGAAACAACACACATGGAGCCCGTACCCTCCCCAACCCGACATTCGGGTCTTCGGGTTGGGTTGGGGTGGTCCAGTTGGTAGCCAATCCGTGGTGCAAGCGAGGTCGGGCAGCCCGCGCGGCCCGCCCAGCCCACGAGAGGCGCCCCCGGTGCGCACCACGAGGCGCCCGCAGGGCGGGCCGCCCTCGGGCGAAGCCTCGGCACGCCCGCCCGGTGCACGAGGCGCCCACGAGGCGCCCACGAGGGGCGCGAGCCCGCGGCACGCGCCCACGGGCTGGGCATTCACCCAGCGCACGAGGCTTGATTATGCCGGGCGTGTCCCCCTACACGAGGATTTTTCGACGAAAGATAAAAAGTACCCCAAACATGCACCAAAAAGGCAACACAAATGCTCAAACGATAGTCCCCAGACTATTTTTGGATTATTGTTTGACTATTTTTGGTGTATTTTCTTTATTTTTCGTCGAAAAGCCCCCTGTAGGGGGACATGCCCGACAAAACATGAGGCGCCCACGAGGCGCCCCCCATCCAATGTCGTAAGAAGCCCCAAGCGCAGACATTTTTTGGGGGGAATTGGGCAGCCAGGCAGTGGCAAACCAGAGCATTTTTTGAACACGGGGGTGCCCTTCCTTGGTGTGTCCGCTTGTTTTTTTTGCCCGGCGATGGAGCGAGGGCCACGATTTGGAAATGACCCCCCTCCATCCGTGCAGCTGCTAGGATGTGTTTGAGGAGTGTGCGCGGCGCTGAGGCGAGAGCCACATTTTGAGAAGGAGCCGCCCTCGGTCCGTGTGACTGCTGGAAGCTTTAGAGCGAATTTGTTCGGCGCGAAGGCGAGAACCACATTTTGAAGACCACCACCTCCATCTGTGTGCGTAGCTCTTGCGGGCTCTGAAGGCGACTGTGCGCGGCGCTGAGGCGGGATCCACACTTGAAGCCCCCCTCCATCCTCCGTCCGCGTGACGGCTGGAAACCGTTAATACGAATGCGCGCGGCGTTGAGGTGGGAACCACGATTTGACACCTCCCCTTCATGCGTGCAAGTAGCTGTTGTTTACTTTTGAAACGAATTCGCCCAGTGCTGAGGCGATAGCCACGTTCTGAAAATTACCCCCGTCCGTGTAACTGTTGGCCAGCTTCGGGTTCATACTCGCGGAGGATGTCTCAGGCGAAACATCTGGCCCTCCTCCCGACACGTGTCCGGTGTCAGGCGAGATGGAGTTATTTATGAGGACGAGGGATGTCGGGTAAGGAGGGAGAGGAAGGAAGACCACGAGGAGGAGAAAGAGGAGGAGGAAGAGGAGGAGGAGGAGGAGGAGGAGGAGAAAGGGAAGGAGGAGAAAGAGGAGGAGGAGGAGGAGGAAGTGGAGGAAGGGGAGAAGGAGAAAGAGGAGGAGGATGAGGAGGAGGAAGAGGAGGAGGAAGAGGAGGAAGTGGAGGAGATGCACCCATGACTTGGTACGGATGTCGTGAGCTTCTCGCGACTGGCGCTGCTTGGCCGGGTGGCTGCGAGGCGACATTGTAAACTTTGATTTTTTGTTTAAAATGAATGGACAATGAACCAAACTATAAGAAGGTAAACTTCGTCAGAAAATGAGCAATATAAATTAACATTGAAACATATGTTTGTATTACCAAACCGTCACGGATTGAATGTAACGCTATATCCGATGTTCATGGCCATGTTACGGACATCAAATATAAGAACACGAATTATAACATCATAATGAATGACATGTTATTCGCAAGTGGCACATAACCAAGGATATTGGTTGACATATTTGCAAATCACCGAACAACATTGATGCATATTCAAATTTAGATTTGCAGTTTTCACATATACATGTAAACACAATACTTGTATGTTCACCTTTCGAGCCGCTCTGTCGAATTTGTAGTATACTATGTTGACGACAGGAGATATCTCTGGGTGTTGAGAATATCCGTCGAATTGGTACAGCTTGAACGCATTTCCGTTTGGAGCGATTCCGCTACGGGTGATCTGTTGTATGTCCGGAAGTTCATTTAAATCCGCATTTCCACATGAGATTTAGTGATGACATGGAGCAGAAAAAGGAACACTTAATCCGCCATGCACTCGGGCCTGTTTTGGGTTGTGAGGGTTTTATTATAGCCATCGCACGTGCAGGGGGCCACATGACGCAGGGAAGAGAGTTTATGTGCCTCAAGGGTCCGTTCTCTTGAGCAGCCACCCTGCGGTCAAAAAACAACCCACTTTGATCTCTGTTCGTGAGCATCGGCCGACGGTGCCTCGGCAGCCGTGTGCTGCTGCACTGGCCCGCAGGAGCACAGCTTCGAGGAGGACGAGTCTGCCTCTGAGAGCTCCGCGAGCTGAGCGACGGCCTCTCCCGTTTTTGGGGGGCCCAAACATGTGCACCATCACCACCTCCCTCACCCCCTCCAACTCCCAGGAAAGAGGAAGGGAAGATGATGGTAGAGGAGAGAGGAGGAATCGACGTGGTGGTGGCGTATATTCTTTGGGCCTCTCCTGTGCATCGACCGCCCTGCTGTTGCCGCTGCTCCTCCCTCTCCTGTGGAATCGGCGGCTGCTTTTCCCGCTCGAGCGGCTCGGAGGCTCGCTCGAGCGGCCGTGTGTGTGTGTGCTGCATTTCACCGCCCTGGTGCTTCAGCCTGCGAAACCGGGCAGGCTCTCCTCTCGGAGGGAGGAAGGAGGAATGAGGAAGGAGGGGAGGAGGAAGGAGGAAGGAGGGAGGAGGAAAGAAGGGAGGGAGGGAGGCAGGGAGGGAGGCAGGGAGGAGGAGGAGGAGGGAGGGAGGGAGGCAGGGAGGAGGAGAAGGAGGAGGAGGAGGAGGAGGAGGAGGAGGAGGAGGAGAAGAAACCGCTGCCTCTCGTACGCGGGATGCCCCGTCGGGCGCGCGCGCGCGCGCTCACCGCGCCATCGGGGCGCCCTGCCATGGAGGCGGTGGTCGGGGGCGCGCCGCGCCGCCCATACTTGCAGCATGCTGACGCATGCACGGGTGCCGACCGTTGACGCCCGCACGAGCCACAGACGGCGAGCGTGCGCTCGCCACGCAGGAGGGTCCCTGCGCCCCGCGCGCGACCACGTCCCCCCTCGAAAGCAAACGCAAGTTTCGTCCCGCGACGTGGCGGCGCCCCAGGACCCCCCGAATCTCAAGGTTCGCGCCGAGCTTGGCAAACTGCAAGGACGACAATCTGACCCAGTGGGCCGCGCTTCGCGCGTCGACCACCACAAGGGGCTTGCGTTTCCTCTCGAGGAGAGCTGCAGCCCCGCTGCTGCCCAGCGCCCACGAGTGCCGCGCCCGCGCCCGCGACCTCGACCCGCCGGCGCCCCGTGCCGGCGCCCTCCGCGACGGTGGGCTGCACGCCGCCGCGCCCCGCGGCGCGCAGAGCATGCCGCGGCGTCCCGCAGCGGGCCCGCCAGCCTCCACGCGCACGGCTCCTCGCACGAACGGGGGGGCCCCCTCCCCTCCCCTCCCTCCCCCCTCGTCCTTTTCCCAGCTCCTCTGCTTGCTCCACGCAGGACGGAAGATTTGCCTCTCGAGGCGGCACCGGCGATACTCGGTTGGCCAGAGAGCGTCGGCGCCGCCAGACGCACGGCGTCTGGACAACTTGTTTGCAGCAGCCAGGGGTGAGGAGAGATGTATTCATGTTGTGCGCGACCCGGGTGCGGTGACGGTTGATGTGGTCCGTGAGACAATGCGCGACTTGTCCGTGGCAGCTCGTAACCAGACCCCCTTCCCATGCAGCTGTCGAAGAACAACACGAATATCCGATCCTCAACCTCTGAATTCGGATCCGCGCGGACGGAAACCGGATCCACTGCAACATCAATCCAACACACACACACACATTCGGATTCGTACCAACTTAAATGGGTCCGCAAAGGTTTGTTTCATGTGTGCCAGCGCAAGAGTTGAAGGAATCATGTCCAGGCCCAACCGGCACACATTTCGTCCTGGGGATGTATGCTGTAGCATTTTCCTCCTCCTCTTCCTCCTCCTTTTCTTCTTCCCCCTCCCCATCCCCCTCAGCGGGCGCGCGCGCTCCCGCGCGCACGGGAACTCGCTCGGGGAAGGTGTCCACCTTAGCTCGAAGATGTCGCGGTGCCCACTATTTTTCAACCGTGGGAGGAGGAGAAAGATGAGGATAAGGATGCGAAGGATGAAGAGGAGGAGGAGGTGGAGGAGGAGAAGGAGGGGAAGGAGGAGGAGGAGGAGGAGGAGGAGGAGGAGGGAGGGAGCTTCGAGGTTTGAGGGTTGAGCCTTCCTGATGTTTTTAAGCGTCCAAGGGCCTTTGGGGACTTCAGCCTGGCGCAGAAGGGTTTCCAGCAAATACGAGGTAATGGTCGAAATCCAGCTGTCGCTGAGCTATCTGGTTGGCACGTGCGCACGTCATTGCGGCCTTCTGTCGTGCGTTGCAATGCATGCTTAGAACCAGCCTGGAGACACGCAAGGAAATAACGCAGACGACAGACACGCAATTTGGATTGTTGTCGAATGTATCGGCGGCTTATCTGCGACTTTCGGTAATCGTATCATTAGTTTGCGCGCTTGCCATGAAGTGCATTGCCAAGCACTGCAACCGCTTTGTTTGCATTGTGCGCGGGCGATGTAATTATATATACATATTGCAATTGTACCCTCGAGATTCAAGTGTATTACGTACATATTGCGCCATCGATGCTTGTCATATCGTTTTGCATCATGTGCATTTCGCGCAAACGCGAGCAAGACATGTGCGCCCCAGACTGTACTGCACACCTGAAGTATACTGCCCACTCACGTATTGCAGTGTGTTGCTATTGGCGGACTGCGTTGCAGCGCTGTAATGGCCGACTGCGGCGCGACCGACCATATCCGACCTGATCGCCTCGAACGCTTGCGAGCAGGCGACGTGGGGCGCCCAAGAGCGTCTTCCGATGCCGACGGCGGAGGCGGAGACTCCCTCGCAACGGATTGGTGGGCCTTGCGCTTCGAGTTCGTACGAAGCATCAAGACCCCACACTTACAGTTCGGGGCGCGAACCATTTTCCGCAGCCGCATTTCTGAAACGCGTCTCTGTAGCGCTCAAGTCCACACTCTCAAAGCACTGCCTCTAGTTGGCTGGACCCTCTTCGCGTTGACTTGTGGATACGTCTCGAGATCTCCAGGGAGAGTAGGTGATCGCTTCATGGCAAAGCGCTTTGGCAGTAAGCCGCGGACTCAAAGCACGAGTTACATGTGCTTTATTGCTCATCCCATCCTTGCGCTTCCCGCCATCTGCAGAAGTTCCTGCTTTCAGTCGGGAACTGATGTTGCCACTTGTATTTGGTAGCACAGCCAGCCTCGACATTCGAGCATAATGGCTGTTACAGTAGTGCAGTCCCGGCGCTCTTTGCACTGCAACGTTGCTCTGCGAGAAGCCAAAAAAGGAGGTTGAAGCGGCAGTGCAAGGCGCATGGAAAGTTATGCGAGTGGCATGAAGAGCTAGTCATGGATCACCTGCACGAGAAGCCGACCAGGATATGCCACAATTGTGTTTGCAGGCAACATTAGCGAGGCCACCACAGCAGCTGGAATGGAGCCATTGAGTGACACACCCGCACAAAGCAATTCGAGATGATGCTTCACCTTTGGAAATTGAGCAAATTGGAATGCCCATCTATCTGTCCCACATGTACATTGGTAATGTCTCAGACGGTACGTGTTGAATTGTCTGGGTTGAGACGTGGGAAGCATGCGTCATCTGGGCCAGTCCACAAGGCCTGGCACGTGGGATGCCTCGACCCCATGCGTAGAAGGTTTCGTAATCTATGGAGTGCAGGCTCGCTCTCGATGCCCGGCACGAGCAAATTCGTCGTTCTGTTCAGGTTTGGGGGCGTTCCTGTGAGAGCATCTCTACTCTGCAGTGGCTTGCAGGGCTCAGGCTCTGCGGCCCAGCTGGCCGCCGATGGTTAGCGGTCCCGGGCAGCCTTCCACGGCCGCGCATTGGGATAGTGTTGGTCCGCAGAGTCATGTGGTATGTCTTTAAAAGGATGCGTGAGAGGAGATGCGCCGCGGCAGCGAGGGAAGGAATGAGAGGCAGGCAATGTGCGGCCGTCTGATTGTGATGAGAGAAGCACCGCAATAACCACCATGCTCTGCGCAGTCAGTCGCAATCGTGGGCGTCGAGGGGGGGGGGACTCCTGGAACGTCTGCCTGTCTTCTGGAGCACGCCGGCGGCGTTGACGAAAGGGAGCTGTCGAATTTGTCTTGAGCCATCGACGACGTCCTTTCGCCTCCTCATCCTGGCCCCTCCTATCCCTCTTCCTTCCTTAGGGGAACAAAAAGTGACATAAACATAAAAACTCGGAGGTCCGCGCGGATTTCTGGGATCGGCGCTGGGGCCCCCCGGCGGCGCCTCCGGCGCCGCCCCTGGCGCGCTCCGCGCGCCAGGGAGGGGGGTCCAGCGCGGATCCGAGAAATCCGCGCGGACCTCCGAGTTTTTATGTTTGTGCCACTTTTTGTTCCCCTATTCTTGCTGCCTCAACAATCCTCATCCTGGCCCCTCCTATCCCTCTTCCTTCCTGCTGCCTCAATAATCCTCGTGCACCTTCTCGGACACGAGTGCTGCCTGCATCGACTGCCACCGTGCACGCGTGTTTCTCGCACGGGCCTTTCGAGTGGCTCCGTGCCTGGCTGGCACTAGCTTTATGTCGGGCCTGTCCCCCTACAGGGGACTTTTCGACGAAAAATAAAACATACCCCCCAAAATAGTAAAAAAATAATCCAAAAATAGTTTGGGGACTATTTTTTGAGCATTTGTTGTTCTTTTTGGGGTATTTTTTGGGTACTTTTAATTTTCGTCGAAAATCCCCCTGTAGGCTGGTCGCACCCGTGAGCAGGCGGTTTTGTGTTCGGTCGCCGAGTGCGCACCCTGTGGCACAGACGACCGCGGGTCGCCTTCTTGGTCGGCCTCTGAGCTCGCAACTTATGGCACAACCGATCGCAGTCCTGTTATTCTCCAGCAGCCGGTCAGCAGCTGACGACGCGGCTGAGAACAGGCTGTGGTTTCATGTTCGGCACCCGAGTACGCAGCTTGCGACACAACCAATAGCAGTCCATAGGTTCGGCCGCCGAGTGCGCTCCCTGTGGCACAAACGACCGCAGGCCGTCTTACCTGTCGGCCGCCAGGCACAGCCACTAGCATGCCGTTGAATTTCCAGCAGCCGACTCGCAACTCTGTGACGCAATCAACAACATGTTGTGTTCATCTTCGGCAGCCGAGTGCGCAGTCTACGACAGAACCACTAGCAGGCCATGTGTTCGGTTGCCGATTGCGCAGTCCGAGGCGCAACCGCCAGAGGCCCGTTGTAGGTTCGGCAGCCAACGGAGCATCCTACAGTCGGGGCGCTGAGGAAGGAACCCTTTTCGTTGGGGAGGGGCTCGGTGTTCCTTGACTGTTGTGCAGTTTGCCTCAGGTTTCCCGAAGGTTTTCCATGGGGAATCGAAGTTCAACTTTTGGGAAAAAGGGGCCTCGTTCCTTATCTAGAGTTCCTTAGGTCAGCGCCCCGACTGTAGGGCGCAACCAATATGGCAGGCCGCTGTGCCTTGGCAACCGATGGTAGTAGTACAACCCATGGCACAACCGCTGGCGCAGCCCGTGGATGTATCGGAACCTGCAGGGCAAGCCCATGCCAAGAAACACCCTGCTTGCCTCCAGGGTGCCCTGGGTTTTCCTGGGTCTCGATGGTTCTGCTATGGGAAGCGTGACGTTCCCGCACCAATGATCCATGGACGTCCTGGGGTTTCAGGGTTGGGTGTCTTGTGGCAGGTTTCTTGTGGTCGAGCTCCTACCGCATGGCGCAGCCCATGGCTGGCGCGATCTACGGTGGAACCGATTGGTCGCGCAACCCCATGGCGCAGTGCATGGATGGCGCAACCTCTGGCGCAACCTCCACGTGTGGCGCCATCCTCATGCACCACGCCGCGCCGAAGCCTGGGCCACTGCACGCCGCCGCAGGACCTTCAGGGGTCTGAGGAGGCCGCTCTCCTTCTCCTCCCTCCGCGGCCGCCCTTTTTTGTTGTGCGCCTCCACCTCGTGCAGTGCAGTACTTTGCCGCACATCAGCCCTGTATCTTCAGGAGAGGAAAAAACACACAGACACAATGCATCCTCGATTCCCAAGAAGATATGGGAAAATATGGGAAGTTGGGGGGGAAGACAGAAACCCAGAACATCTGGGAAACTATGGGGAATCTTTTTATTTGTGTGTATTTATTTGTGTGTCCTGGGGCCCCTTCATATCTGCCCGGCCGATCTGCGCGAGCGCCGGGTCCTCGGCCGCGAGATCCGAACCCTGCCCTCGCCTTAGTGCTTCAGGCATATCTCGCTGGGCGGCAGGCGTCGGGCTCGGAGTTCGTCGCGCACGCGGCGAAATCCGAACCCCACCCGGCCTTCCATCGATTCGGGAGAACCGATGGCTGTTGGGGGTAGGGTTCGGCTGTCGCCACCTTGACGGCCCGCGACCACGAAACAGCATCGGCGTTCCCCCAACATAGTTGTACTATGTGTGCGTCTCCCACCCAGGGGCGACGCGCGCACCGAGAAAGCTTACAGTATATATCTGTATGTATGTGTGTGAATATATATATATATATATATATATATATATACCGTCGTGGCCACTTTTTGTGCGCCAGAGGACCGATAAATGACCCTCGCCGCAACCCTCACTCCACATCTCTCGCATGCGCGTTCCCAGAGCATCCCTCCGGACACCTTCAGAGGCAATCACGGCGCCCTGAAACGACAGAGACGAAAAAGTGTAACACACATTGAAGGAGAAACTTAAGACAGCTTCCGGGCTAATTCTTCCTGTCGTTAGTGATGGCACCCGCCCTTCTGTACCCTCGCACGCGCACGCCCACCCGCGCGCGCGTGCGCGCGCGCGCCCCCGTCTTCCTCGTGCCGGCGTGTCTTGCGATGTTCGTCCAGTTCTCGGCCCTGCGCACACTTCCTTGCACAGCCCAACGGCCGCCTTCGGCCCACGCCTCACTCCCACCATGCACTATACCAAGACTTTCAAGCGAAGCGCAGCGAGCTTCAAGTCTTGTATATATATATATATATATATGTGCGTCGTGGCGGGCGCTTTCTGGCCACACCGCTCGGGAAACGATGTACCACACGATGGGTCTACTATATGTTCGGGTCGGACGCGCGCCTTCAAGCAGGACGTATCGTATCGTTATGTCTCTGTGCGTCTCTTGACGGCCCGCGACCAAGCAGCAGCAGCAGCAAGGCGTGGGGCGCAACCCACGGCGCAGAACCCAGGGGCGCCGCACCTCCTGGGCCGTCCCCCCCACGCGGAGCCTGCGGCCCCCGTCGCGGCGAGACGACGCGGCGAGGTCGACCCCCGTCGAGGGGGTACCCCCCCAGGCTTATTACAGTCAACCCGCACAGTAAGGATGGGCAGCCTTCCCAAGGATACCCTTGCATCCTTGCCTCCTCGGCCCATCCTTGGCCACTTTCGTTGGCCGCGCCCCGCTCGAAAAGCCTCGAGATGGGCGTCCAAGGCCCTCGCATCCTCATCGCGCATCCTTGCTGTACGGCTTGACTGCGAGAAGCCCAGCGTAGCGTTCGGCTGTCGCCACCTTGACGGCCCGCGGCCACGAAACGGAGGAGGAGGAGGAGGAGGAGGAGGAGGAGGAGGAGGATGGAGGAAGGGGAGGAGGAGGAGTAGGAGAAGGGAGGAGGGCGGAGGAGTAGGAATGAAGTAGGGAGGAAGGAGGAGAGGAGAGGAGGCCGAGGCAGGATGAAAGGAAAGGAGGGAGGAGGATGGTGAAGGAGGGAAGGGAAGGGAGGAGGAGGACAGGAGGGGGAGATTGGGAGGGAGGAGCAAGGGGCAAAGGGGCTGGCGCAGAAAAACAAAACCCGCGGCGCAAAAACCGGGGGCGCCGCACCTCCCGGGCCCCTCCCGGCGGAGCCTGCGGCCGCCTCGGGCCCGCCGCTCGGGCCGGCGGCGGGGGCCCCGCGGCGGGCCGCTTGGTTGCTGTCGGCCCCCCAGAGGTCTCGACCCCTCCTCCTGTTCCTGCTCCTGCTCCTCCTCCTCCTCCTCCTCCTCCTTCCGCCTGCTCCTTGCTGCTCGGCGGCCTCCCCTCCTCCTCTCCTGCTCCTGCTCCTCCTCTCCTCCTCCTCCTCCTCCTCCTCCTGCTCCTTCTCCTCCTCCTCCTCCTCCTCCTCCTCCTGTTCCTCCGCCGCCTCCTCTTCTTCCTCCTCTTCCTCCTCTTCCTCCTCCTCCTCCTGTCCCCCGGGATCGGCTTCTCGTCCCGGGTCGTTCTCCGGCGGTCGCCAGGCTGGCCCGGCGAGGGCACCCGGCGGCCACAAAAACCCCCGATCGATCAAGGTTGAAAAATCCATTCGGGGGCGGAAAAGAGGGGGGTGATGACTAGGGGGAGGTGGATCTCATGGCGGGGGCCATGATATTTCCCCAGATTTCATGGCGCCTCCTCTTATTCAATGCTTACCAGCCAATCGGGACCGAACCCACCTCGCCTCTGGAGAGTGTCGAGGGCTGCGGTCCGCGGCAGCCCCTGGACGGGCGCGCGTTGAGTTCCTTCTTGGGCGCGGGCAGAAGCGAGATGAACCAACGTATGCCAGCGCGTCTGCAGGGCTTGAGGCTGGTGATTCCGTCGATAGTTATAGCGCGCGCGAGCTCGGCGGCTCTCATTGCCGGCGTTGCCCGACAGGGTATTGCAGGTCCGCGCTCGCCCCTCAGGGCCTGGTCTCGTTCCGTCGGGGGGCGCGGTGGGTTCGGTCCCGACTGCTTGGTAGTTACTCACATATTTCATTACGTCCCTGGCCCCCCCGCTGGGCCGCGCACATGCCGCCGGTGATGATTTGCACCCCCCCTCTTGGACACCCCCATCTTGGCCGCTCCCGATCCATTCAGTGTCAGAAACCAAGGTCGGGGTCGTTA